GTAGACGAGAATGCTGATCACCGACAGGACTATATTTCCTTGTGCTTTGAGAATATCCGCGAGGGCTATCCCCATGAAGAAGCTAGGCACTAGCTTAGTCCTTTCCCTGTAGTAGTCCACCAACAAGACAGTGTTTTGTACCAGGACGATTATACAGAGGGGTATGGTAACCGGGGTTGGCTTATAAAATAGTCCCTTGAAGAGCTAGATCTCAGGACCGGCACTGCTCACCCTATCGTGGTGGTAAAAATCCTCTACATTTCCCAGATTTGTCGTGTTGTTCATTGTGTGTTTAAAACGCTTTGATTTTCATTGGTTAGTATTTATTATATTATACTGATATTAAAGTGTTATAATTCATTTGGGATGAAACACGCGTGGTCTATCTTTATCATATAATTGTGAAAATTTAGATTATAATTTGATTTGAAGACTTAAAGTCCTAAACAATGTGCTGATAGGAAGGAAAGGAAACACAGTACTTACTACCCCGCTACTATATGCGACAAAGATATTGAATAAAGTATAACTAAATAATTGAAGGGTTTAGCCTGAAACTAATTGATTCATAGCAGTTGACCAACAAACTAGGACCCGCGATCAAGTTTTTAAGGGGGTCTCATCGGAGCAGAAAGTTAAAAGAAACACTTGTTTTTTAAATACACTTCAATACAAGGACTAGATGAAAAGATAAAACTTAAAAGTCGACATGGACGTAACGTTGTCTCACGTAATTTGGATTTCTACTTTTAAATTCGCTCCGGCTCGCAAAAAGGCTGAGCAGAAATTGATGTTGATGCGGAAACAAACTATTGACACGATGATCAAATCAAATTTCGGTCCGAACCTTTCATTGAGAAGTGTTGAATTGTTCACGAGACATAATATCTAAAATCTTATTGGTTATAAGTTAACCCCGTGGCTTAAATTCGGTACTCGTACTGGTACTACCTGCAGTCTGCACCTCTGATTATAATCATTCTACTGATGTAATCATTCAGATCAGACTAACAGAATAGTTCCAATAAAAGTGGGGAAAATCACCTCTAGTTAGGATGTTATCTACTCAATATCAACATATTACAGCACCATTCAGTGCTACTGCTAACATATAGTTATAGGTGTATAACCTTTGCGTGTATACGCCGTATACTATACATTACTATCCGCAATCTCGGTTTTATTTTTTAAAGAGCAAATTTAATTTTAATGGCCAAACACAATCCAATAGAATTCGGCTCGATCCGATTATGAGAACTATCAAATAAATACGATAATTCATTCGAAAAAATTTAACATGGATATTCTTTGATTTTACATATTCCTCGAATGAGTGGTGATAGTAAGTGATACCAAAATGAATCATCTCAATCGGGCACTCAGTAAAGACCAACACATTTACACTGAATTTTGCCCCCACCACCCTTCCTGTATATACAATTAATTAATGTACAATTGAAACAACGAGTTAACAAACAAAATGTTTCATACTATCCGAAACGAATAACGATCGTCAATGTTAGAACTTAACTGCTTACAACTACTAAATCCATCATTTACCTGTACAAAATCCTTTATGAAATTAACTGAACTAAATCAGAACGAAAAAAATCCTTCAAAGCAATTTTTAACATGAATTTGTTGGTGTGTCTATATTAATTAATTTACACATATATATTAATATGTTTATTTAAAGTAAGATTTTAACTACTTAACCAAATATTCGGGGTCCTATAACAATTTTTTATGATAATCAGATAAAAGAAAACTTAATAGTAAAAAAGGAAGCCTATAGCTAAAACTTAGAAAACTAAACATTGTCCCAATACCTTGGATTGACAAACTTCACCTCTAAATTCCAATAAATTCCTTTTCACCCTCACTCTTATAACAACTTTTTAAAAGTTATCTATTTTTAGTTTCAGTTAAACCACTTGATCAGATCGATTGTAAACTACCCTATGCTGGACGGCGTACACGTGGATTTGCGGGGTAATCCCGGAGGCAGCATGCCAGGATTCGTTGAAATCCTCTTTTGTATCTCTCCCTCAGCTCAGGCTTTCTACACAGGAGTATAACAGGGTAGACTGCGGCGTAGATAAGAGGCAAGGTGAACTCTGCAACTCCTTGTAAGATACCAATGTTAACATAATCCTGGTCAGAATACTCAGACTTTGCATAATTGTATGTCAGGAAAACAATTATCACAAAGAAAGCAGCGTTGCAGGTGAAGTAGAGAAGAGATACCATGAGGACAGTGTTGGTCACGTGACGAGTAGTTCTGAAGAGAAGTGGGCTAGTTTCAGTGTCTCCCAGTGTCCGTCTAAGATACTTGATCTGTATCAGCATGCAGACCAAGATGATGAGAGGGGGGATTATGAAATATGCGAAAGATGAAAGATATACAATAGTTGCACCAATATTACTACGATTAACAAATATTGGTGCCATATTTCCATCATTATTATAGCAAGAACGTTGGTGGTGTTGACCTTCACCAATGGTCTGAGAACTATGGAGAACTGTGGCATAAAACAGAAATGTAAGAATCGTGACTAATCCAGGAAATGAAAAAGCATACAGCAAATACGCAAAATCAAAATCATACTTAAACAAAATGCAACGGTCAATGGCAAAGCTGATAGTATCAAGGAAGTGAAGAGAAGTCACTATCAAGCAGATTGTGACCACGATTTTCTTAACACGAGCATTGTCTATCCGGCGGAAAGGATCTGCGATATTAACAGTCAGCGTCAGAGTGACAGCTAGATTGAGAACTTTAGAGCAGGTCACTCCTGGCAGTGCTGTGGTCATGTAATAATGCAAGCTCCAGTACAGGACCTCTACATCGCACACTCCAGTGTAGACGAGAATGCTGATCACCGACAGGACTATATTTCCTTGTGCTTTGAGAATATCCGCGAGGGCTATCCCCATGAAGAAGCTAGGCACTAGCTTAGTCCTTTCCCTGTAGTAGTCCACCAACAAGACAGTGTTTTGCACCAGGACGATTATACAGAGAGGTATGGTAACCGGGGTTGGCTTATAAAATAGTCCCTTGAAGAGCAAGATCTCAGGACCGGCACTGCTCACCCTATCGTGGTGGTAAAAATCCTCTACATTTCCCAGATTTGTCGTGTTGTCCATTTCGTGTTTAAAACGCTTTGATTTTCATTGGTTAGTGTTTATTATATTATACTGATATTAAAGTGTTATAATTCATTTGGGATGAAACACGCGTGGTCTATCTTTATCATTTAATTGTGAAAATTTAGATTATAATTTGATTTGAAGACTTAAAGTCCTAAACAATGTGCTGATAGGAAGGAAAGGAAACACAGTACTTACTACCCCGCTACTATATGCGACAAAGATATTGAATAAAGTATAACTAAATAATTGAAGGGTTTAGCCTGAAACTTGATTCATAGCAGTTGACCAACAAACAAAAAAAAAAAAAAAAAAAAAAAAAAAAAAAAAAAAACTTGTTTTTTAAATACACTTCAAGGACTAAATGAAAAGATAAAACTTAAAAGTCGACATGGACGTAACGTTGTCTCACGTAATTTGGATTTCTACTTTTAAATTCGCTCCGGCTCGCAAAGCCAAAAAGGCTGAGCAGAAATTTATGTTGATGCGGAAACAAACTATTGACACGATGATCAAATCAAATTTCGGTCCGAACTTTTCATTGAGAAGTGTTGAATTGTTCACGAGACATAATATCTAAAATCTTATTGGTTATAAGTTAACCCCGTGGCTTAAATTAGGTACTCGTACTGGTACTACCTGCAGTCTGCACCTCTGATTATAATCATTCTACTGATGTAATCATTCAGATCAGACTAACAGAATAGTTCCAATAAAAGTGGGGAAAATCACCTCTAGTTAGGATGTTATCTACTCAATATCAACATATTACAGCACCATTCAGTGCTACTGCTACCATATATTTATAGGTGTATAACCTTTGCGTGTATACGCCGTATACTATACATTACTATCGTGGAATGTACGGTTCTTTTGCGATAGTGTAAATGCTATAGTTAGCGATAACGAGCGTCAGTTATCACTAACTGACGCCTGCGCTAGCTAGCACTTACTAGCGCCAACTAGCGCAAGCTAACGAGTAATATCGCGGAATCCAATTTCGGCATTTTGCGCTAGTTAGCGATAACTAGCGCTAGTTATCACTTTATCATAAAATCGCAAATATTTCATTTCGATATATTGTCTAGTATTAGTTACTGTCTAGCGATAACTAATACTATCACGGTACGATTTTTAGCTCTAGCTAGTATTTATAGTGCTAATTAGCGCTAGTTAGTATAGCAATAGTTATCGAATAGTTTGATCAGACTCCTCAAACTTGCGATAACTATGTCTATCGCATACTATCAGATTCTACAATGTCGCATAGCTAGCGCTAGAAAGCACCAGTTATCGAAAATTTTTAGTTTGCGCTAGCTAGTGTTAAATAGCGCTAACTAGCGCTAGTTGGCGCTTGATTGCGTCATCAAGCGCTATCTATCGTTATCCAGCGCTAGCTATCGCGTTTACGCTATCGCAAAAGAACCGAGCATGTTTATATAACCGGTATCAACTTTAACAAAAAAACCGTAAACGATATATAATATACAACTTAAACTCTTTTGACTGGTTCAAATGCTTTAATGGCCTTCAAATAAGCATGAAAAAATAAAAAAATTGGCCTAAGAATAAGAATTTTAGTGCCAAAAATGTGGACTCCAAGTGGTGTCAAAAACACGAATTGAATAAATTATTATTATTTTAGTCTCATGAGTCTTGACACCACTATAGGGTTAGACGGGTTCCTACTAGTATAGATAAAAGGAGCACTTGTGTTAGGCCAGGGTCAGACCTTATGAGACACTGGGCCATGAATTTCGCTTGAACCCACAAAAACCATTTTTCAAGGGGAATGCATATTTTTTCATCCACAATTTTTGTTCATGCTTAAATCATACAACATCACTTACCCGTGTGTTATTTGATAAAATCCAGGATATCTCTGGAAGAGGATCTCCGGTAGCTATGCAGGTCAGAATTTCACTACTGAACACGCTGACAGTTTCATTTACTGTTGTTATCTTTGGTAATTCTGATGAGATGGAAATTTAGAATATGGATAATGCATGAAAGCAGTTTATATAAATCACTATGAGACAGGGCTTTAAGTACAACCATTTTCCTGATTGTTTATCAGCGAATTAGATCTAAAAAAGTACTTAAAGAAACATATTATTACATATTAAACATATTATTACCGACTACAAGAACGCGTATGTAAGCTCTATCGTTTGCATAATCAGTCCTTACTTCACAGCTAAAATACCTGAAACAAAATCATAATTTTTAATACGTATAGGAATAAGGCTTTGTTGCTACACAAATATACTTTGGTTCAAGCCGTGCAGACACCTTTTATTTCAAATTCATACAATTTATAAAATCATAAACTGAAAGCATCTAACCCTTCGCCATCAAGTTTGGAAACATCGTTTATAGCAAGAGACGTTTTATCCTCACTGACTAGAAATCTTTGATCGTCCCATACCACTCTCAGGGTATCCCTGTGAAAGTGAAAGAATCAAAATACAAGAATGTAAGTTAACACCTGATAGGTAGCTATGACCGCAGAAACACTAACAAATTTCCAAACCTCAAATAATACTTGAAAACACCGATCGAAAAAATAATTTTGGCAATTTACCAAGTAATCTGGTCCGGAGTGGCAGGGGGATCTGCTTTTACAGTGACACTAAGAGTTACACTTAGTCCTAACACTGCTGTTACTGTAGTCTCTAGAGGAATTACCTCCGGCTTTGCTGTGGATATATAAATTCAAATAACAGTTGTTGCCTGCATAAGTTTGGGAACTAAATAGCATTTATCCGTAACACAATTAAAGTATATTAGTTTACTCAGCCTATCCGAGAAAGCAGTCACATTTAAGGAGGCACACAGCTGAGTTGCTTATTAATTTGGCAACAAATACCTGGGTTTTATGAAGAATTGGTTATATATTATGTCCTGACATCACCTTAATGATATAACATTTACATTTTATAATTTATAAAGCCTACCAGACAGGTTAATGAGCTAAGTTGATTAGTTATACTTATTGTCCGACAATATGATGGATAATAAATATGCCATTCAACACTTCCTTCCATAAACGTTCTGAGAGCACGGCCTAATATTAACTTATTTATGCCGCATAGTTGGATCTGGGAGTCAAATTAAACTTTATAGGTTTAACTGAAGAGTACGATGTTAAGCACTAGTTGTTCTTAAAGGTAGCTACGTGGGCTACTTGAGAGAGCATTTCATTTCACTACAGCTGATAATAATAATAAAGGTCAGATAAAATCGTTCTATTTAGCTCTAGATTAGGTTTATATTTGAATATTGTTCCGTCATGATATGGTCCCCTTAAGTATGAGATCCTGGATAGGTTCGCTATTTAAACTTCATCTCACCTTGAGCCACTTGTTGCTATTCAAAATACAGGTTAATCAGTGTCGAGGTCATGGAAATATAACTTTCATCCACCAGCTAACTTAATTCCACGCATTTTTTCAAACATTTAAGATTTCAAAAATTGGCTTCAAAACTTGAATTTTTGAAAGTCCATATAAATACAATTTTCTGGGAATAATTAAACATATTCAATTCAATTATTTTGTCTTTCTGGCTGAGTGCATCGAGATGATAATGGTGATAATAATTGTCATCTTAATGCTATCATGCAATCATAAGATGCCATGGACCATGGTAATCGTAACACAATAGAGTAGTTTCCGATGAGATATAATCGTAATGACCGACTACTAGACATTATAGCACTTTTCTGGGAATAATTATACATATTCAATTCAACTATTTTGTCTTTCTGGCTTTGTGCATCGAGATGATAATGGTGATAATGATTATCATCTTGATGCTATCATGCAATCATAAGATGCCATGGTAATCGTAACACAATAGAGTAGTTTCCGATGAGATATAAATTCAGAATTTTGCATTGCAAATTTTGGAATTTGGCCGCCAAATTTTTTAAAGGCCTAACTTAAAATTTTGTCCCAAAACTTAAGGTCGAAATGCAATTCTTCGTTGATTCTGAAAATTTCATGTAAAAATATTGAAACCCTATTGAGTTCTATTGTTTTGAGCGAAGTCAGTTTTGCAAATATCGCGAACTGAGATATGGGCAATTTTGTTCATTTTTTGCGATTATTTGAACACAGAATCCACAGTTAGGTAGATGCTGAGCTGATAATCATAGATAATGTGTAGTATAAGCTTACCTTCCATATAAAGTTGGTTTCATTCAAAAATATTGATATTTGACCAATTTATGGGCCAAAATCGATCAAATTAGGTGCGTATGCCCAAATATGGTCATATGGTTTTTGGCTCATAAATCAGTCATTTTTTGTCCAATCTTGATGAAAATTCATATACGAGTTCAAGGGACCACTAGCTACAAGTAAAGCACCTAAAATCTGGATTTTGGGCATGTTCAGGGTATTTGGTTAAATTGGGCCTGATTTGAACCAAATATGGGCGTGGTTGCCCCGCGGCACCGTTTGGCGGTTGGGGTCCGGGACCCCCTCAAAAGTTCGGTCACCGGTCCTAGTTTGTTGCCCCCCCCCCCCTCTTAAACTTAAAGCACCTTGGACCTTGGTGTCAGGAAACCTCTTACTTAGCTGGGGACCCCAGGCCATTATGGTCATAAACATAATAGCCGAATAGAGAAACCTATAATAACTCTCTATAAACTCTCAATGAATATATTGAATATTTAGACAGTCTTACTCCACGTGAGCAAGAATCATGGAAAACAATAATTACTAAGCTGTCCACTCCAAGGTTGTTAAATACGTCAAATTTTCGTCAAATAATACGACGTATTTGGTTCTAATAACTTAATAAAGAATACGTCGTAATACGCCGTAGTACGGTAATTTCTATGGATTGTTAAATACGTCCACGAATACGCCATAATACACCGTAATACGCTGATTTGTCAAAATTAAACATTACAGCTGCGCGCCACCCTCATCATTGATCATGCATTAAAGGAGTGCAGTTATACAATATGATAACTTAAATTTGTAATCAAATTTCATGGATAATCCGATAAGCAAACAATTTTTTGCGCGCACGACACACCTTTTCGTAATACTTCAATTTTCGAGGATTAATACGTATTCGTATTCCAATACGTATTCCCTCCTAATACGTATTTAACAACCTTGGTCCACTCCCTCCGACCATTTCGTCTTGTCGTGATCACTTAAGTGTATTTCGTGAATTGTAAGGGTCTAACTTCATTGCACGTTCAAGGTCACCAATCAACTCACCTTACCGATTCATCACACAAATAACGTCATCCATAACTGATGAATATTTAGCTGTTCACACTACTACTAGTGCTCACACTAGTGCTCACACTTTAGTCCTCTTGTGACTAGTGTTCACCTGCAACAATTTTAGATCCCTGACGTCGTCTGAACTCTGACGTCTGCCGTTAAAGTGCATTAGGCGCAGTATTACTATTATCTGACGACACTTTGAAAATTTCCATATTATAGCCTTTGATATACATATATTTACCATTAAAATTATGTTCGTCAAAAAACAATTTCGAATTAATAGTAGGCCTGTACTTGTAGGCTGTTATTCTATTAATGCCCCACATGACACCGCTACAGTTATGCAATTTAACGCACAGAACGCACACCTATTTACCCGGTCAAGTTTAGCCTATATCTAAATTATTTAAAAAGTGACAACCATACTAGTACGCATAGTTCCAAGTTCCTTTAAGGAGGCACACAGCTGAGTTGCTTATTAATTTGGCAACAATTATACCTGGGTTTTATGAAGACCTGGTTATGTCCTGACATCACCTTAATGATATAACATTTACATTTTATAATTTATAAAGCCTACCAGACAGTTTAATCAGCTAAGTTGATTAGTTATACTTATTGTCCGACAATATGATGGATATCATGCCATTCAACACTTCCTTCCATAAACGTTCTGAGAGCACGGCCTAATATTAACTTATTTATGCCCGCATAGTTGGATCTGGGAGTCAAATTAAACTTCATAGGTTTAACTGAAGAGTACGATGTTAAGCACTAATTATTCTTAGTTCCTTGGTAACGAGTCAGCTACGCAGACTTCGTTAAACACTTGAAAAATACTTAATAATAAATAATAATAGGATTATGGCACAGTGGCTGCAAAAGCGCAAATTGCAAACTAAGTATTTTCGCGCGTTTTCGCGCGTTTTGACAAGATATATATTATGAGCACTCTTTAAATGCTTTTCATAAATTCCAGAACAATCCTTTTAGTATGATTTTTAATACAACATACAATTTATGGTCTAAATATCATTATCTAGCAATTTTGAAATTTCTAGCTTAACTGTAAATAGAGTTAAGTGCATTTTAAAACAAGTAAAAGTCTTCTATTTTGTTTTGATCATAACATTTTAACTAAGTAAAAGTATTTGGGCATATTTACACGAAATGATCAGAAATTGTCTAAATAACAATACAGTCAAAGTTTTAATGATCGGCAGTAAAATATTCGTAACCAAAACGTTAATCAAAGTTATACGAATTATACTTATTTGTTTACAATATTGACTTTAAATTGAACAAAATGCGCGGAACGCGCGCGATCTTATATCATATATGCGTAGGTGAAGAAAGAGACTAGCCATCTTTACAACAAAGGAAAGGATTTAATAACCTCTACTAGCCTTAGAGCATAACCATGCTCTTTCCACAATGCACAAGTATGAGCAAATAACTCCTTTCGCAGGAAACTAACGCCCTCACAGGCTCCCACGTTTCATGTAACCGACCCCAGGTTTTGGTTTTAGATCGGACACTCAAAACAAAGATAGAAGAGCGGTCTACACGCTTACAGGCTACCACGTCTCTTGGAAACCCAGGATTTAGTTTTGGATCGGACAATCAAAATACCGATATAGATAAACATAAAACAATAGAGGAGCGGTCTACACCCTCACAGGCTACCACTGACCACGTTTAGTATAAGCCAGGATTTAGTTCTGGATCGGAAACTGGAAGCAAGGATATAGGAGCGGTCTACAGTGACGTTACAGGTTTAAAGGTATAGTAGTTGAAATCACTTTTACTTTTAGCAATATTAATGGACTGCAGTTCAAAAATATGGAAATATTCAGGAGCAGGACATGGACACTGTGTGGTTTGAGATATAAACCCATAGGTGAGGGCCAGAGACAAGTTTCCGCTTAGACATGACAGTACCTAGACAACTGTGTATCAACTGTTTGACGATCCCGTTAACCAGATTTATAAGTAACACCTACCAGGAACACTGCATACGACTACGAGTTGCACGTAGCAGGCCATGACCTTCCCTGAGAGTTCCTGTCTCTCCGTCTTTAACCCGACGGAATCTCTCGGAGTCTGTAGCTGATATCTATGTTTTAAGATATCAGCTACATACTCCGAGAAAGAAGACTCCTAACTAAAGCATGCAATGAAATATCAGATTCTTAGAATATCATATCAAGTGGTCGAGACAGTTTTAAAAATGTTAAAATTCGAGTGTTGAATGACATAGCACGTACAATGTACATCTTTACTTTCAGTCTTCTCCATCGCTGATTTCTGTAAATCCTATAATGACTTTTTTCAAGAAATTTAGCCCGCCTAACTCCGAGGAACTTATAATGTCGGCTGGATATAGAGACTTGATCTTTTTTCGTTTGCCGTTATTATATCGTCCCTATAAAATAATACAATTGTAATCTTTGACTTGTATATAAAAATAAATGTCTATTTACAAACGCAAAATTGTATCATCTATCTCCAATGTTTGTTTAGTGCTGTGGGACTAAATCGATAAATACGCTGGAAGCTATAGATCAAAGAGTCTTAAAATTAGGGTGGAATTTCTAAATAGGTACAGCATATTGCAACAGACTCTATGTCTGTAAGAAATCGGTTTACCTCCTTAGTACTTGCTCTAGGAATTCCTTCAACAATGTGATTTAGGAACAGATCGCCACGCAAAATCGATGTTTCTAGTGTCTGGCCCAGATTTTTGACGTAGTTTCCAAGCCAAGACCGGGAACTCCTGTAATTTATACTGTTTATCAATTATGTAATAATCTCTGATCTACGTAATACAAAGAGAAACGAGACTTCAGAGATCTCCTGGATTATGCTGGAGCGTAAACGGATAAATATAGCAGAGACGTACGTTATTAAAATTTATTCTGCAATAAACGACGAAAAACGGTGATATTATTATTAATAAAAGTGCTTACCTTATATTTCGGACATCTTTTTGCATATATTCTATCCCCTCCTCCGACATATTTTTGAGAAACTAACACGCTCACAGGCTCCCACGTCTCATGTAAACCCAGGTCACAGGTTTTGGTTTTGGATCGGCTACTCAAAAAAATGAAAGAGGAGCGGTCTACACGCTCACAGGCTACCACGTCATATCAAGTGGTCGAGACAGTTTTCAAAATCTTAAAATTTGAGTGTTGAGTGATTTAGTACGCACAGTCGCACATTTTTACTTTCAGTCTTCTTCATATCGCTGACCTCGTTAATTTCTTCTCTTTAGTACGTCCCTATAAAATAATACAATTATAATCTTTAACTTCATTTCCAGGGTTAAACTACCACTGGTAAGCAATTCGGAAAATCATGGGACGGCATAATGCCGGGGCGGGTATGAACCGCCAACCTCCGGGTTACATGCCTAGTGCTTTAATTGAGCTACCGGCCCTATTCAGCTCAGGAATTTCTTGCAAGCGAATCAGTAAGCAATCTTGTTGTTATTTCATATCTGCTGCTATTAGTACACGTACTGCATTATATGCAGCAGGGATAGCCACTGCCACTAATGATCATGGCTCTAGCTAAATGTTTTACTCCATCGGGGCAGCCGAGGCACGTGCAATGTTTGTTTAAAGCTCTCGAGCTAAATTGATAAATAGATTAGACAACCTCGGAAGAGACGCCGGCAGTGTTAGATCAAAGAACCTTAAAATCAGGTTATTCATGAATTTTCGGGAGGTCTTTTAGAAGAATGTCAAAATTCAAGTGTAGAGTGATTTAATCACCACGCTCAGCTATCTAACGTACGGAACGTTCACTAAAAATAGTTTGTGAACGCGTTCGCTAAAAAATTTTAACGTTCGGAACATAAGGAAAGTTAATTGCTATTATGAAATTAAAATGCAGGACATAGCCCAATTATCCGGCAAAGTACTAGCGTTTCCATTGCCAGGCCTTCAGGGCCTTGAGGTATGTTACAAATACAAATGTTGTTTGATCTTGAGCTGAATGGTTGTTATACTATAATATCGTATATATAAGAACGATGTACATTTTACACATCGATCCCTAATGAAGTTTTGTGGAAGATCAAATTCCAGAGAAAGAAACGTATCCTTGAGCAACTTTAAGTTTAACAATTTTACCTTTGACTTCTTAAGTTTCAGCCTTCAGGGTAATCATACCCCAAATCTTTTGGGAAGTACCATGAACAGACCGTTAAATCGACCGCAAGATACGAGAACAGTATATTTGCTGTGGTAACCATAGTTGGTCAGTTTGGTCATTGTTTATTTACTGTCTAATTCCAACAACATGGTTTTATCTCATTGTATCCATCTTAAGTTAAAAACTATCGGAAAATTATCAAAATATTGACTAACGTATACTAACGTTCACAAACGTTCACTACAAAATGATTGGAACGTACGTTCAGTACGACTAAGTTCAGCGTTCACTACAACTAAGGTTAAAAGTGCGTTTAAGTACATTTACCGTTGAATTCACCGTTTTACGAGAGTAATACGTTTTATCAAGAGTAATACAGAGAAAGAGTCCCGACAGTCTCCCTGATTGCCTCTAAATATATTCACGTGACACATATGCCGGTCTTAAACTAACATCATCCAATTAATGGAGTATAACTAAGCCTGTCAGTCTGTAGAGTAAACAAAAGGGGTGACAAAGAAGCCTAATTAAGGAAAGTGAGGTGGAAACAGCTTGCTAACCGTGTGTAATGAGGTTAATAACAAAAGGCCAATAACCACATAGGAAGATGAACTAGTAGTCTAAAATGATGTGTACACTGGTGACAGGAGCGTACAATTACACATGTCTGATATCACAAAAATATCTGAAACCAAGCTTCCTGAATTTCTGCTCAATTGGCCGATACGAATGGCCCAAATATGGGAGGAGATCTAGAGGGTGCAAGAAACAACTGGAAAAAATGATGAACCTTTTTTAGGAAACACGGATATAGTTCTAGAAGGGCCGATCGAACTAGACCAACTTGAATTGACGCATTTTTGAACACTGATTCATATCTTGAAGTAATTGTAAAACAGATACGGTAATAATTAACATGTCAGGTCATATTATTCTGAAATAATTGTAAAATGCCTACCTGCCTAGGTCGATGAAGTCTGGAACGAGTTTCCAGTTTCGTGACAGCGCTTCTCTCCATTTATCTCTATCACTCATGAGCCAACGAACCTTATCAGATTGCAATCCAGTATCTTCTGATCTTGTAGGATGTCCGGAAAGGTCTTATGAGGTCGTCCTATATACCGATGGCCATATGATGGTTGTTAGAAAAGGAGTTGCTGAGCAGATTGGTACTGACGGTAGAAATGTCCTGTAAAATAGATACAGTAATATAAAATATCGGGTCATATCCTAAAATAGAGTAACTGTAAAATAGATACGTGTACGGTAATACTAATAACGTTGAGCCATAATATTTTGAACGATGAATTTATCTAAACAAAAGCATTCTTAATAGAAACTTGAACATTTTTACTCACAAACGATCCATTGGTTAATCATGCTCCTGTCTCGAAAAGAGTATTTAGCTCAATATGAGGGCGTGTATCTTTATTAGAATTCACAGAATCCATTTTCTAAAACCGGAGAAGTATAGTATAATGAAGCAATTTAAAATTTGCACGATCAACAAAACATGACAATAATATGCTCATGTCATCAACTTCATGAACAATAAAAAGCATATAACAAATATGCCAATACACAATGAATAACAAATTTTTAAAAAAGCTGTGAACAGAAGGTAAAAAACTGCGAACAAAAGGTAGCGTACGATCGCGTTTTGAAACAGTGCACAAAGAAATGATCCTAGATTGAGCTCTAGAAATCTAATTTTTGAGTGGAGTACTTGTGGAAGAGGTAATGCAAATTAATGCTGCCTGGTATGTGGAAGAGGCTGACTGAAAAGCTTGCAGAGTATATTGGCTCTAGCTTGTAGCTGTTTCATCAAAAATTGTGTTGACTGTGCGCGGCTCGACCGCGCATTTTTACAATATTTGTGCAAATGGCAAAATCATGCGTTGTTAACGATAAATCGACGTAAGGTCTACTTAGTTCGACTGACGGCGGGGCGCCAAATTTGTGCGCTAGTTGCAGCGCAGCCACTGTGTATGGCCACATGGCCATCTCGACAAAACTTGAAACCCAACTGCACTCTACGCTATTGCAGTTCGCACAATATTATCAAAAAGAAAAATGTTCCTATCCGGAACATTTAATGATTAATTATTTTAAGGACGTTAACATGTAGTTCTGAATTTAACAATCAAGAAACATTGATTCCTCGGTATTTAGCAATCAATGGGTTATTAGACATGAAATGTGCATATGAATCATGCTCACATGTATTTATTTTTGACATCAAGGTTTCGCTGAGATCCCAGAAGTGACCCTTTGACGATGCTCCACTCGCTATCAGTTCATTTTTATAACATTGAAGTCGAGCTTTGAATGCGTCTACTGAACTGGCTTCTTTAACCGAACTTGGTACTTTGTTCCAGTAATTGGCAACACGGTTACTGAGGACCTGATTTCCTCTTTTATCTTTTAGGATCTTGGTACCGCTACGTGATATCCTGAAAAGATCTTGTCCATAGTCCACTTTACCCGTCGTTATTTTAAAGGTTTCAATAAGATCACCCCTCATACGGCGCTCCAGTAGTGTTGTTAACTGGAGGATTCTCAGTCTCTCATCGTATGGTAGGATACCAATCCCGTCGATTATTCGTGTAAATTCTCTCTGAACGTCTTCTATCTTCTTAATAGTCCTCCAGTTTCCGTGCTCTGCTGGTAGATTCCACACTTGCACAGCGTATTCGATGTGAGGTCGAACTAGAGTTCTGTAGACATTTAGCATAACAAATTTGTTACGGCAGATCAAACTTCGTTTGATCCAGCCTATAACAGACTTGGCTTTTTTCACGGACTTATCTATATGATCACTCCAGTCCAGGTTTCTGGTAGTTAGAACTCCAAGATCCTTTTCTGCCTTCACTTGGGGGAGGCGTTCCCCATTCATGAAGTACTCGTGCATTGGATTGTTACGCCCAATATGTAGTACCTTACACTTGCCATCCTTCACATTGAATCTTAGGAGCCATTCCTTCTCCCACGCATTGAGTTTCAGTATATCACTTGTTGGGTTTTAAATCGTGATATCAACCCAAATCTCAAATATTCGCATTTATTTATATATGCGAGACAAACCGTTTTTTTATGAGACACAACTCATATTGGGACTTTGGTTACTCATCTCGACATGTTTGGATACCAGAATCCTTCCCAGTTATACTGGTCGAAATAGTCCCAACTCAGGAATTTGCGTTTCCGTACATTTTAAAGCATCTGAATCTTATAGCTCCAGACGAATAATAGTCAGGTCATTTACAGATTTACTTTAACTTGCATTTCATGCAGACTATAATGGCATTTTTAATGCATCTATCAGATTTAAGACACAATCTGACAGTCCAATCAAATCTTTGACGGATGAATTAAATTAAATAGTTCATATCATTCTCAATAGCTCATTTTACCTTTCTGAACATGATACGACGCGATCATTGGTTAGTTTAACGTCAGTAATCTATATCTCTGTATGTTGATTTGTAAACTACGTTTTTTTAATAAAGCTGTACAGGTTATAAGGTTGAGCTCTTACTTCAGCATCGGCTGGATATAACATGTAGATTATAATAATTAGGAATAGAAGTAATATTCTTCATGCGCTTCATGCTTCGAAATTAAAAATAAATATTGGAAAAGTTTATAATGCTCACTAGTAACGAAGTGCAAATAACAGGAAATAATAAATGAAAGCATGAACGTCCTTTTTTTAAACGTCAATAGCCTTTTAAAAAAGGCCTAATATTATGTACACAAGCCAAGTTTATTCAAAACTTACTTCGGAGATCCAGGGCGATGTTTTCACTCGAGTAAAGGGTTCCTTTGTAGTTTACCTCGCACCTGTATAACAAGTTTAACTTTTAAAACTTCTGATTTGATGAATGTTTGATGATTATTTATTAAACAAGCCGGTAAATCTGTCCCATTGTTCTAACCAAGGCGTGCAGTAATTCGTAAGGCGGATTATCGTTGTGAAGTACTGTACTACTCACGAAGTACTGTACACGATGTTTTCAACCCACGAGTCAGAGAGCAAGCTCAACTGACGGCTCCCAGATGACGTATGCACATGTAGGTGAATCAGTCTGATCAAGAATTTAGTTGGGCTGTGATTGTATCGACCATGAGTACCAAGCAAGCAGATATTTGAATCGACTAGATTTCCACTGGTAAGTTATTCGGAAAATCATGGGCCGGCATAGGGCCAGGGCGGGTATGATCCGCCAACCTCCGAGTAACATGCCTGGTGCTCTACCAATTGAGCTACCGGCCCTACTCAGCTCAGGAATTTCTTGCACGCCTATCAGTAAAGCAGTAAGCAATCGTGTTGTTATCTCATATCTGCTGCTATTAGTACACTGCATTATATGCAGCTGGGATACTCATTGCCATATTTGTGAGACCATGGGACAATAAAACAATAACAAATGTCAAATAACTCAACCCAAAACAATCTTCAACTTTACCCGAATAGTTCCTATTCGGGTTTTTTTAAACCGGCATTTTTATAGTTTCATATACCAATACAATTAATTATGTCATACCTGTAAACTCCCAAGTCAGATTCTTCAAGGGCTCTCATTTTAAGTGTAGCTAAAGTGTCCTCCTGATCGTAGCTCATTTCTATTCTGTGAAATACCACTTTGTTAACGTACGGTGATGTAACTGTTTTAAATAACCCTCCCGCCTTACCTTTGCACAGCCTCCATTCTTTTTTACTTGTCTTTTTTAAATGAATTGCTGTATTACCAAGACGAGTTCGTTAGTGTTCTCCTTGGTCATTTCATGTTTAATTCCCGGTATCAAAATAATATCCTCTCCATAAAGGACGATGGGTTGAGCAGATAATTAATTATTGAGTCACATATTATTGTTTTGTTTTATTTCATTCCGTTTATAACCAAAATATAAATAGTTACTTCTTTAATCTTTTGTAGCAAATTTTAAAATAAATCAAAAACTAGACACTTTTTGTGAAACACCCTGTGTGGCTGTGTCATAAATTTGAATTTCCCCTCCTTTAATCATTCCAAATATGTGCTGGATTTCATTGCAGTCTGCAGCTGTAATTCGAATACCCCACAACTTAATATTTCTAGTAAATAACACTTAATTAATATTTTATTACTTCACAATTGAATTTGTTAACCTGCTTATCGGTAGAGAGCCATCAAGTTTGACCCAAGTTATATTGTTCCGGTCTATGTTTGCACAGTTCTCGGGCAGCGGGTACACAGTAACCTGTATACTCATATAGTGAGGGGTTAAACTTAAACTTAAAAACAGGAATTCTTACCACAGTAACCTGTATAGTGAGGGATTAAACTTAAACTTAAAAACAGGAATTAATACCATCTCTGGCAGCGGATACACAGTCACCTGTATAGTGAGGGGTTAAATTTAAACTTAAAAACGGGAATTAATACCACAGTAACCTGTATAGTGAGGGGTTAAACTTAAACTTAAAAACAGGAATTAATACCATCTCTGGCAGCGGATACACAGTAAACTGTATAGTGAGGGGTTAAACTTAAACTTAAAAACAGGAATTAATACCATCTCTGGCAGCGGATACACAGTAACCTGTATAGTGAGGGGTTAAAATTAAACTTAAAAACAGGAATTAATACCACAGTAACCTGTATAGTGAGGGGTTAAACTTAAACTTAAAAACAGGAATTAATACCATCTCTGGCAGCGGATACACAGTAACCTGTATAGTGAGGGGTTAAAATTAAACTTAAAAACAGGAATTAATACCATCTCTGGCAGCGGATACACAGTAACCTGCATAGTGAGGGGTTAAAATTAAACTTAAAAACAGGAATTAATACCATCTCTGGCAGCGGATACACAGTAACCTGCATAGTGAGGGGTTAAAATTAAACTTAAAAACAGGAATTAATACCATCTCTGGCAGCGGATACACAGTCACCTGTATAGTGAGGGGTTAAAATTAAACTTAAAAACAGGAATTAATACCATCTCTGGCAGCGGATACACAGTAACCTTTATAGTGAGGGGTTAAACTTAAACTTAAAAACAGGAATTAATACCACAGTAACCTGTATAGTGAGGGGTTAAACTTAAACTTAAAAACAAGAATTAATACCATCTCTGGCAGCAGATACACAGTAACCTGTATAGTGAGGGGTTAAAATTAAACGTAAAAACAAGAATTATATAATACCATCAATGAAGATTGGAATAATGCATTGTTCAGGTTTTTATACCTTTTAATGACTATTTTACGCTCATATATTTAAAATACAAACTGACTTGGTTTGAGATTTTCATAACGCACTTTTCCAGATAAATTAACATGATAAACTCAAACTTTCATAGCTATAACAGTGTTATAATAATGTTATAATAACTTCTTGCCTGTCATAATATCATCACTTGCCTGGAAACTTGCAGTTTTCTCGTAAAACGCCACTAAGTTGGTTGTTACTGGGATGAAGTACACTTCACACCCGAAATCAATATCTGTAAAATCGAAATCTGTACCTTTGTTAGTAATTGAGTATGAGCATTTTGTGAAAAAAAAAACTTAAAGTTAATTCAGATGTGAAACAAGCGCGCATGTTGAGAATCGAGATTAGGTCAAGGATCGTCGAAAAGATTAGAAAGCAAATTGCATTGTTCGTCATACAATAAAAAATGCCAATCTTGCCCGAAGATGTTAATTATTTTAACAGTTCACTCAATTAAAAAGTAATTATTTTGATGGACGGCCGCTTTCGAGTTTCGATATGTTTCGTTTTTGTGTTCACATAAATCATCATCTTACTATATATAAAGCGAGGCAATATATATATAGGTATATACATAATTCGAACAATTGAAACAAATCAAATTGGCGGGCAAACGATCCGTTTCATGATATGTATAAAAACAATACCAATCATCACTGATGATTGGTATTTGATTTGTTTCAATTGTTCGAATTATAATGCTCCTGCTTAACTACAGTCGAGCACTCTCTTTGGGAAACCAAACAACAACTATTTATAGGTATATACATATATAATACAGGGTGGGCCAAAAGTCATTGGGCATATGTTGGCCTTAATAGCTCCGCTGTGTTTTATACGATGAATTTTACTAAGTCGTTTGAGGCCACATTTCATACCTTAAAACTCAAAACTGAGAGAAATCCTGTTCCAAAAAGTTTGATATGATCATCAGCTACACTCACAAGAATTTTTGAAGCGATATCTGATGACCTGGGCGAGTGGTAAAATGTACAATTTTGGTGGTAGGCAAAAATCCCACTTTTTCTTTTTTCACCTTGTTCGGTCTGTAACTTGGTCATTTATTGTTCAATTATATAATCCTTTAAAGGGTTGTCTTGTACGGAGTGTAAGTAATGTTCAGTAAAAAAATCAGCCAAAAAACTTTGAAAATGACTGAACTATCGGTATTACAGTGATAGACTTCTCCAAATTTTAAAAATTTTCGAAAAAGAAAAATATTTTTTTTCTCGATGAGGGAATATTTTTAGAAAATTTTGAAGGTGTGCAATCTTATTCTTTTTGTCTATTTAACCATAATATCAAATAAAATCGATGTTCGGAGCAAAAACGTTGTTGGTGTATCTCCCCTTAAGCATTTAGTTTATCTTATTAGCATGTTACACGACACCTTAATTGGGCTACCCTTAAAATTCCCACTGTGTAAATCTGATATCGCGTACCTACCCCACATGCCATGCTTTAAGCATGCTACCTGAGCCTTAGGAATTATTAAAGAATTCTTAGCGGAAAATGAATAGTGAAACATAACTGTTGCAAAAGGATAAATTTATTCAAAATATGCACACAATCATAAAAAACATGAACAATAAATCTACAGAAAATTATCAATATGACCTCCGTTCTTCTCTACGACCAACTTGCAGCGCCGTTTTACTGATCGGCAAGCCCTAGGGCCTAGCGTGGAACTTTACTGGAACATCTCTACAGCAGTCTACAATATGAATACGTCTTTTCAGTTCAAAGATGTCATGAGCAGGACCCTCCTTGTAAATTTGATACTTAAGCCATCCCCAGAAGAAGAAGTCTGGAGGTGTCATGTCAGAACTACGAGGTGGCCAAGGTACAACTAGTCCTTCACCAATAGTTCTGTTGTTAAATTTGGAAGTTATCCACTGTCTGGCAGGAAGATGAGGACGAGCACCATGCAGTTGTGGATGTTGGAGTCTCCAGGCGATGGGAAGACGTGGGTAAGCTCTGGATGGTTTGAGGTGTAGTAAACGGGTTGTAGTTAAATTCCTTGACAGGTTATATAACTCATAAAACTAAATGAGTAAAGGTTACCACTACCAGCTTGTTACGGCGCGGTATATCACAATTTATAATGTCCGATTGATTAAATCGGTAAAAGTTTTTACCTCAGTGCCTCAACTGTCAAGGTCAAATGGCATATAATCGTAAACAGTTTTATCGTCAGTCGATCTAAATTGCTTGTACCAATGTACCTGATCAGCGCGCACTGCCGACAGCGCTACGTCATTATTGCAATAAATAACAGATAACCATGGTTACCTGTTTACGGAGATGTCGGTGATATTAAACAGCGATTAAGTTCAGTTATACGATGCAATAAATTTATAACATCGTGGTGAACGTTTCCTTAATGACTGGAACTGTTATCTCAGCTCTATCTCTGACGGTTCAGAGCGAGCTGCCCACTGTAACTGTGATATCCAGTCTGGGAGTGCTTCTGCTGGTGCGTCTTAGACTTAATGTGTTGTATAAGTTCGTAGTCTAGTGTGTTGAGTCGTTGGAACGTGTACGAGCGTTTTTGGACTTGATTTGTTTTAGATGGCGGTGAGATCTAGCGTTTTTGTTTGAAACATGTTATATTAACTTTGTTATCCAAAATTGTTTTTTCAATCTTAAAGAAAATATTGTACATTTTTGGTTGAATATAATTAGTTTCATGATTCTGTTGAGGTGCAGTAAACGGGTTGTAGTTAAATTCCTTGACAGGTTATATAACTCATAAAACTAAAGGTTACCACTACCAGCTTGTTACGGCGCGGTATATCACAATTTATAATGTCCGATTGATTAAATCGGTAAAAGTTTTTACCAAGGTTACCTGTTCACGGAGATGTCTCATGTCAGTGATATTAAAGTACCATATACTATAAACTTAAATACCATTAATTTATAAAACAGTGCAGCGTCCAAAGTCTGGCACTCAACGCAGCATACCACTATAACCAGTACTACTAAAAACTTATATACCACTAATTTATAAAATGCGAATATTAATCAGAACAGTTGGCATTTTGTTAAATTTCTGAAAACTGCAAACCACTTGCATATTGGCAATTGGACTGTAAAAGATTTTTTACTACGATTCAAGAACGAAATGATTTATTTACCATACATTTTTTTTTAATTTTTGGCTTATCAAAATTTGACTGTGTATTGCAGATTGCTTGTTATGAGTATGACCTCACCGCTGTTAAAGATGCAAAATATATTCATACTAAAATCAATTAGTTTGATTGAATTTTTACCAAGTTAGAATTTTGGCTCTTACTAATTATCACGTGACTTTGGTTTTTATGGTTTTGCAGCCGAACAAAACGGTTTTACATAAACCCTAATCCCAACCCTGACCATAACTCCAAAGCTATCCATAACCCTAACCACAACCCTAACCCTAACCCGAGCCCTAAACAATAAAATTCGTGTTTTACTACTAGTACTACTAGCCTAGTAGCCAGTCATGTGACCATAACTCTCCAGGCCAGGGAAGCATTTTTACCCTACATCATGGGGGGTGATTCGGAATCGGGGTCCAAAATACACCGATTAAAATTACTTTTGTACCCTCAGGGCCTTTTCACGAGAATTTTCTTGAAATGTGGGCGAGCAATTTAGTGGGAGCGTACAATTTAACAATCGAATTTAATTAGCTTGAAAACATAGGGAAAAAAAATCTAAGGGAAATTATTAAAAATAGTAAGGGGAAAAGTGGCATTCCGTTGGATTTGAATGTTCACAAGGATTTCTCAACGGAATATGGTAGTTAGGACCCCTACGAACATAATTAGACCTGTCACCAATTTTGTATCTCACGGAAACACCTCTTTTTACCACTTTTTACCACCTTCTTACCACCTTTCTGGTTTGCCAACTATCTTTAGTTGTGAACGTCGTAGAAGGTTGCAAATTAATCGAGGATGTTCATCTCATCAAAGAGAAAAACTTTTTACGTTGGATAATCAGCTAATTGGATAATTACCAATTAGCTAATTACCAAAAAAAGTGAAACTTTTTTATTGGCTCAAAATGATTGAAATCGTTTGTAACACGGAGAAATGTAGTTTTTAGAAAAACTTCAAAAATTGTTCACTTAAAAATTTTTTCGAGACTTGGAAAAAAATTTCGAAAATTTGAAAAAAAATCATTGCCAGGGTCGGGATAGAGCTGAAGATAGCATCGAGAGGTTGCTAGAAATAGCTAGATTTAGAGTAAACTTGTGGTAGCTGGGTGGTGCTAGCATGGATGTAGCAGAACGTAGCTACACGGGGTTTCATTGGAGTTGGTTATTTTAATGGCCAAAGAGTGCCGGAACTAAAGTTACTTAAGATTGCAGTTGAGGGGCAGTGTAAACCACGGTGGAGTCACTGAGTCAGGGACACAGAGCTACAGTGCAGGAGTACTGCAAAAGAACAGTGCAAGTGATACAGTCTGCAACAGAACGCCGAATGAGTAAGATTGTGGCTGCAGAGGAGGAGAGGAGCAGGAACCTGATTGTGTTTGAAAGAAGAGGAGGAAGGAGGGTTTCCTGCTCAGGTATTTTTGGAAGAGGTGGGGTGAGAACTTATACCCAAGCGACAAGGGTGGGCTGGAAGCAACCAGGTACAGCTATCCGACCTATTAAGATCACCGTCCTGAGCTTAACAGCCTTTCATCAGAATCTGATGAAAACAGAGAGACTGACCCAACCTTTTTAGATACAACGAAACCCTTTATATAAATCGACTTTTCCGCATGAATTACTTCATGGTATCTTCTTATCAAGGCTACAGACCTTGCCGTACCGGATTTATTGATCGAAGTGAGTCTCTTTAGCCCTCTTCTTCTTTAGAGCTTTAGGTTAGTGATCAAACTCTTCGCTACTCGCTCTTCACTGGATCTATCAGGTCATATTCACATCTTTTTACTTTTTAGGTCTCAACCAGCCTTAGTTTTCCTGTTTTCATCATGTAGTACGTTCTGCTACCTCCATTTTAGCACCACCCAGCTTCCATCAGTTCACTCTAAGTCTAGCTTTGTCGGCGTTTTACTGTTGCAGACTGTATCACTTGCACTGTTCTTTTGCAGTACTCCTGCACTGTAGCTCTGTGTCCCTGACTCAGTGACTCCACCGTGGTTTACACTGCCCCTCAACTGCAATCTTAAGTAACTTTAGTTCCGGCACTCTTTGGCCATTAAAATAACCAACTCCAATGAAACCCCGTGTAGCTACGTTCTGCTACATCCATGCTAGCACCACCCAGCTACCACCAGTTTACTCTAAATCTAGCTATTTCTAGCAACCTCTCGATGCTATCTCCAGCTCTATCCCGACCCTGGCAATGAGATATGGGGGTTATTTGAGGTATCTGGCATAACAAACGAAGCGGCATGCGCATTCACAATACAATAAAGCCACAGTGGATGATGGAAGGTATATTTACACTCGCTTCCTATACCCCCTATAATACCGGGCCTCTTGCGAGAGTGACAAAAAGTGCACAGTTAAAACTAAAAGAAACTCCTGTGAGAAATCGCATTTCTTGCACAACTGGGTCTAATTATAGAGGTAAATAAGAGGTCCGGTACATTCAGATACCCGGTATAGATTGGCAAGATTGACGGTACAGAGGTTTTGATCATTGAAATCAATAAAATGATAGTACAGCAGGTAAAATCGGTTCGATCTTAAATGGTCCTTTTGTGCTGTTTATTTATGTGGAATTTGATAACGCTGAATTGTAATTAGTTATGAAACTCTAATATTGTGTGGTTAACCTTTTTCAGGTTCAGCCCTTTCCGCTAAGCTATTCCTAATTAATAAAATATGTCGAGATTTACTGAACTCCAACTTCAAATATTGATGATTTTAGTATTCCCCAATCTAAAAATCTTCGAAGTTTTTCTGCAAAGCATTTTTATCCACGTTTCATGCAATTCGATCACTTTTGGCGGAAATTTTTTTTTTCAAATTTTCGAAATTTTTTTCAAGTCTCGAAAAAAATTTTTAAGTGAACAATTTTTGAAGTTTTTCTAAAAACTACATTTCTCCGTGTTACGAACGATTTCAATCATTTTGAGCCAATAAAAAAGTTTCACTTTTTTTGGTAATTAGCTAATTGGTAATTATCCAATTAGCTGATTATCCAACGTAAAAAGTTTTTCTCTTTGATGAGATGAACATCCTCGATTAATTTGCAACCTTCTACGACGTTCACAACTAAAGATAGTTGGCAAACCAGAAAGGTGGTAAGAAGGTGGTAAAAAGTGGTAAAAAGAGGTGTTTCCGTGAGATACAAAATTGGTGACAAGTCTAATTATGTTTGTAGGGGTCCTAACTACCATATTCCGTTGAGAAATCCTTGTGAACATTCAAATCCAACGGAACCCTTAAATCGACCACTTTTCCCCTTACTAAATACCCCAGAATGTTTTCCCAAGTGCCTCAAAGTGGTGCCTCAAGTGATGCGGATTGGTACCTCAAGTGAGTCAATTAGTGCCTCAGTGCCTCAAACTTTTTCCCAGGTGCCTCAAAGTTGTACCTCAATGCGTAACAAATTCGTCTCAAAAAATCAAAACATATTAAATAAAATCTTGAAAGACAAATTTCTAAACCAAATTAATTAAAACCGAATTTATTGCAAACTTTTTTTCAAAATATCGTACATTTTGGTTGAATATTTAGTTTCATGATTTTTATTTTATTCGTCATCCTGACTATAAAATATTACCAGTGGTTTCAGTATTCAAATTGGATTAAATTTTCAACATCAAAATATTATTTTCATTGTACATAATATATCAGGTAAATTTGAGGAATTACTTATTAGTAGCTCCATCACCTAACGAAATTAAACATCGCAGCGCGAACGATTTGAAATTTGGCCACATCGGGCACAAATTCCCAGTATCTTAAATCTTAATGATATAGGAGCTTGGTCATTATCCATTTCATTCTCACCAAAATATCTCATTGTAAATTTGATAAATTCTACCTATGTATCATAAATATTGTACCGTTTAGAATTAGTTTTGATTGTGAACAGCATGGAATCTTTCTCAAGTCGCAACTTTTATCAGATTAAATTTATGTTTAAATTCAATCGACCATTTTCATTGTATTTAACTAGTATCATTGGTAAATTGGTACGGTTGGTATTAGGTAAATACGCACAATAACGCACATGGAACAATTAGAAAACTAACCTCATAGCACTTGAGATCATTTTATTATTATCCTGATACTAATTAAATTTGAGTATTATCATTGTAATTATATAAATCAGTATTAAAACTTCAATATATTGTCCAAACGATTAACAATAAACCAGCTTTGTTTAAATCCAGTGCTGTTTCCTACTACTTAAGAGAGTGCCCCGGACCTCTCAACCTGTTAATCCCCATTTTCTGAAACTCATCCGATAGTCTGAAAATGGATCGTCAAGTAATCCTCCTGTTGACAATAGTTTGTTGTGCTAGTGCATCAATCGACCACAAACAGATAACCGGGCTGAATAAACTCCTGGGGCTCGGAGACAAAGCGTACGCTACCTGCAACATTGTCCTGTTCACTGAGCTGGTGCAGTACGAAGAAGCGAGCGCTAACTGCAAGAAATTCAACCTTGGTGCCGGATTAGGCGAAGAAGGAAGGCTGGCTACAGTTGATGACGAGGAAAAGAACCATGATCTGATGGCGCTTCTAGAAAAAGCTTACCCGATTGTAGATCAAGACGACAAATCACCTTGGACCAGCAAAAAGTGGGTGTGGTCTGGTCTCAGAAAGACAAAGAACAACGACGTCGTTGGGCTGAAGCGAGGAGACTACGATCCCTTGGATTGGGAATGGGCAGACGGATCACATCCACTTGACTTCCAAAGGTGGTTCAACTTTGATAACCGTAAGAAAGCACAGCCAGACCAATATTCTTTGAAATATGGCAAGAAGTCATCATCAGATAAGAAGTGCGATGAAAAACCCAGATGTTACCAGAACCAGATGAGGATCAACCACGATGGTTTGTGGGACGACACATTCAAACAACTGGAACATCCCTACGCCTGTGACTACCAGGGCAAATATGTCCTGTCCAAAGAACAGTTGAAATGGGTAGATGCTAAAGAGGCATGCGAAGAAGCAGGACTTCATCTTGCTAAAATCCGCAGCAACGAAGAGGTTGAGGAGATCTTGGCAGCCATGGTTCATTTCCTCGGCCCGGTCGAGGAACTAACGGAAGATAACGAATGGGTCGACACAAACTGGCTTTGGGTAGGAGGAAGTGATGCAGGAGAAGAGGGTACTTGGGTATGGACGGATGGAGAACTCGTGCTACCTGAAAAGGGTAGTGATTGGGTATTCCCCTGGCATGAGAAGAAGGGAAACGATAATGGGAGCAGAAAATTGCGGAAAAAGGGCGGACAGGATGCTCTTTCATTCTCCCGATGGGGAGAATTCGATGACTCTCACATTGACAACATGGAGACCATGCGCCCATTTGCTTGCCAGTGTCCAGAGGATGTGGGCTTGCACATTCATTAGTTAATTAACATGAAACATTTCGTGAATCCTCTTCGATATATCTATGAATCATTATTTTCTTAATAAGGGGATCAATTTTAGTATCAATAAAGATGAAACGGTTGAAAACATTATTATTAATTATATAATATTATATTATACATCATTTTAAAAAGGGCAGATCTCTGTTTCACTTTGTCTTGAAAATTTCAAAACTTAAAATTTTATGAAAGTAGTAAAGCGAAACGGGAATTCATTATAGCTAATTATTCAATTAATAGTTTTAACTTGCATATAATGAGGACATTACCGAGAGAAGCTACAGTTTAATTACAAAAAACTCAGAGCTGTGTCGATATTCTTGGACTATGGCCAAAGCATTTATAATACTATTTTATAAACTTATTTAATGCTTGTTTCAGAGCACCAGTATTTTACCAGGAGGGACGTCTAGGTACTAGGCATTTTCGTCACTAAGTGCATGAAGGGAACAGTGAACTCTGCATAAAGTTTGACTTCTGGTATCCATTATCCAGTTTGACTCGATATTATACTAACGGTCGATTTGTTTGGTTCCTTTATAATTGTAAGTTTGTATGATTCTGGCCGGCCAGGACCACCCAATTAGCTTCAAAGGTTTCAATCCGTGGCGTACGACCAATAAATTACAATTTGGCTACACGCCAATGAGTGAAACAGCCTGTAAAAGCTGGTTATAGCGTACAGATATTGACCAGCATCTGTTAGCTTATTTAAAGCGTATACAGGTATGAGTTAGTGTTTAGAAGGCTCAGCTCGAAGCATCATAGGTGTCAAGGCCATGTTATCAATGATAATATCATTATCATGTCGCTCTTGATCAAAGCACAACTCTTCTTAGCTGGTTATTTGTACAAAGATGAGTCCCTGAATGATAAAGACTAAAGAGGTTGGCTTAGTGCAGGATTACCACTATAATAAGATAATAGTAATATCCACAGTTTATCACTATATTTGACAGTGTTTTTTATCCTGGAGCTGATTTGCTACTTCCATTGTATCACAGTTTGTTTATTGTACACTTATGCAGCCGGGTAAAATAGCTCATTCAGGACTCAGGTCCCCTCAGGATATCAGTCAAAAGTGTCAAACTAAATAGGAGGGATATTTATTTTTAATCACGATGTGCAGCACACATGAACACTCAATAGTTTTCTCGCTATCGTCAACGCAGTTGTTATCAATAGATTTAAGTGTTTAGTGTCAATAAATGTGTGTCATGTTTCCGAACATGTTTTCCCAAAAAATTGTTGATATCTGATCCATGTATAAATATTTATAGATAAAAAGCTACGAAACTACAATCAGTGACACCTGCAGATGATAGAGTTTGGTTGTTTAATGGGCCTTGTCAAACTGCTTGTTAAATGTAAATGAAGGAGTTACCATGCAGTGTGACGTCAAGTCAATTACATTTACAGATTTACAACCAAAGCAAAAGGAAGTAAAGCAATCGCTCTCATCTTAAAGATATTCATAACATATAAATACCCTAGATACTTGAATAGTAATAAGTGAATATGGAAGTCGTGAGAATAAACAAAATATTAGATGCCTGTTTAAAAAGCCACGCTCTGGTATTGGAAGTGAGTTTTTTCAATATTTACGTCGATTTAACATTTATTTTCCCAGTCAATGTCCTAAGTTCCCAGACTCATTTTCAAGTCCAATAAATACCTTATTCATTCATTCGATCTCTATGCAGTATGCTCTTCAAACGTTTTGGCAAGCGCGACAAATATTTGCTTCCAGAGAAATATTAATTTTTCAAAATTAGTGAATTGTTTCAAACGATAAAATTCCACAGAAATGCGAGCAATATTGTTTATTTCTCCTCAGTGTTAATTTAGTAGTTGATAATAATCAATATTATGCAATTAAGCCTTACAAATACAATAGTTATAACTTTACTCCCTCAAATATAAATTACTTTTTTCTTAGATTAAATCCATGCAGTACAGTCTCTTAACACCTGCAGAATTTACAGGGTTTATTTATTCATAGCTTGTGATTGCTTAAATTAACATTTCCTTGCATGAGTTGACATACTGCATACAGTATCTCCCTCTGGCCTCTACCTGGGGATCCCCGACTATTATGTTCATATAAAACAATATAGATTCGGCGGAATGACAGACTGAGCGCCACCCAGTAATATCTCCCTCTGATCTTTACAACGCAGTTTTTGGGATGATAGATTTATCGTAAAATAACTGCGTTGTACAGAGGGTCACTGATTAGTCGCTTTAAAATCAGCTCTAACATAGGAGCTATTTGCATTGCAGAGATGACAAGAGACATAATTGACAATTAATCATGATCTTAAAGCTAAAATAACATCATATTTTGAACGAAGTGAATAAAATGCCAGAACGCTATTTCGTTCAAACTAATAAGGATACAAATTGAAAATGTTGACTCCAAGTAAAAGGGGATGAAACATTTTTCCGAAAAACCGCTAGTAATATTATAAATTATGCAGTAAACGCGTTGTACAAAAGCGTGTTATGAAGGGGAATACTGCATATTCCACGCAGCACGTCCTCTTAATTCGTAATTAATTGCTGTATGTTTTTAGGTTCTTTTGCGATAGTCAAAACGCGACAACTAGCGCTGGATGGCGACAACTAGCGCTATCCAGCGCTAGTTGTCGCCATCCAGCGCTAGTTGTCGCTATCCAGCGCTGGATAACGCTGGCCAGCGCAAAATATATTTGTTCGATAATTGTCGCTATCCAGCGCTAGTTGTCGCTATCCAGCGCAAGTTGTCGCCATCCAGCGCTAGTTGTCGCTATCCAGCGCTAGTTGTCGCTGGCTATGCGACACTGTCGCACGCGATAGTTTGCGATGGCCAGCGCAACTGGCCATCGCAGAAAACAGTTCGATAACTAGCGCTGGCCATCGCAGAAAACAGTTCGATAACTACCTAGCGCTGGCCAGCGCTGGATAGCGACAACTAGCGCTGGATGGCGACAACTAGCGCTGGCCAGCGCTAGTTGTTGCTATCCAGCGCTATCCAGCGCTAGCCAGCACTATCCAGCGCTAACCAGCGCTAACCAGCGCAAAATATCAATTTTTGATAAATTTTCGATAAATTTTCGATAATTGTCGCGAAAAATAGCGCTGGATAGCGACAACTAGCGCTGGCCAGCGCTAAGCGATAGCCAGCGCTGGCCAGCGCTGGCCATCGATATCCAGCGCAAAATTTTTGCGCTATTACTCGTCAGCTAGCGCTGGCCAGCGCTAGCTGACGAGTAATATCGCAACTATATTGCGCTGGCCAGCGCTGACTGACGAGTAGTACTAATATCGAGCGTGCTAAATCACTCTACAGTCGATCTTCGAGATTGTTCTAAAAGGGCCCCCGATGGTTGTAACCAACTTCAATCGATGCAATGTATTTTCGAACGCTAATTCCGAATCAACCCCCATGACATAGGGTTAAAATGCTCTGATCCTGACGAGATATTGTCGAAAAACTGTATCGATCACGTGATATCACAATGCTGGCAAGCATAACCGTTGCCCTTATATTCACAACACTATGTACCCCCTATACTATTATATCCCCTTTATTGTTTTCCAGGCATTAAGACTCATCGAAAGTAGTTCAGCAGGTATATTTAAGTTCAAAACATTCTAATTCAATGTTAAAGATGACAGGAATAAGAAATAGTTATGTGGAGGTTTTTAAGAAATTTGCGCAAAATACGCGCCAGCATGTTATACGAAATAAGGTAAAAAACCCAAAATCGCCATATTCAGGTGCCTTAAAAACCATGTTAAAATCGAGTTAGAGATCTGAAACTTTGCAGAGCGTCTAGACCTTGTCCAAATCGACTGTAAAAAAAATTTCATGTTGCAGGAGTATCGGGAAGTGGGTTTTCTGGAACCCCTGTTTTACAACAGATTGTCGTGAAGCTATATATCACAATGCTGGCAAGCATTACCGTCGCCCTTATATTCACAATACTATTTACCCCCTATACTATTATATCCCCTTTATTGTTTTCCAGGCATTAAAACTCTTTCGAAAGTAGTTCAGCAGGTACATTTAAGTTCAAAACATTCTAATTCAATGTTAAAGATGACAGGAATAAGAAATAGTTATATGGAGGTTTTTAAGAAATTTTCGCAAAATTCGCGCCAGCATGTTATACGAAATTAGGTAAAAAACCCAAAATCGCCATATTCAGGTGCCTTAAAAACCATGTTAAAATTGAGTTAGAGATCTGAAACTTTGCAGGGCGTCTAGACCTTGTCCAAATCGACAGTGAAAAAAATTTCATGTTTCAGGAGTATCGGGAAGTGGGTTTTCTGGAACCCCTGTTTTACAACAGATTGTCGTGAAGATATATCACAATGCTGGCAAGCATAACCGTTGCCCTTATATTCACAACACTATGTACCCCCTATACTATTATATCCCCTTTATTGTTTTCCAGGCATTAAGACTCATCGAAAGTAGTTCAGCAGGTATATTTAAGTTCAAAACATTCTAATTCAATGTTAATGATGACAGGAATAAGAAATAGTTATGTGGAGGTTTTTAAGAAATTTGCGCAAAATACGCGCCAGCATGTTATACGAAATTAGGTAAAAAACCAAAAATCGCCATATTCAGGTGCCTTAAAAACCATGTTAAAATTGAGTTAGAGATCTGAAACTTTGCAGAGCGTCTAGACCTTGTCCAAATCGACTGTAAAAAAAATTTCATGTTGCAGGAGTATCGGGAAGTGGGTTTTCTGGAACCCCTGTTTTACAACAGATTGTCGTGAAGCTATATATATATATATGTATATATGTATAGACGCTTTTGCAGTAAATTGTAGCCTACATTTAAGTGTCCGTAGATTCAAAAGTATAAAAGATACAGTCATTTCGAACCACAGGTTTTGAAGATAATTTTTTATACTTTAGTTTACATTATATCGAAAAATAATTTATCGTCATCATCATCACTTGATGACGTCATCAATTTAAGTGTTTTTAAAACTTGATTTTTGACAAAATAACAACTTTTCAAATCGATTTTAAAGCATTAAGGAGTAATTTTATTCAAAATCTGAGGACATTTTCACCTTAGATAATTGTTCAAGCATTCTGAAAATCTACCGGAAAGTTTTCCTACCTTGCTCCTTC